CTGATGTTAATTATAAGTATCCTTTTTGTTTCCATTAACTCTAAATGTTCGTCATTGCTCATGTGTTCAGTCCATGGTATTCTAAGCATCCTTCTGTAGAACATTTCTATTGACTCAAGTTACTTTGTCCTTTGTGATGAGATTGCCTAGCATTCACTGCCTTATATAAAGCGTGTTCCAATAACTTCGACCGATTTTTAATGTGAAGTTTAAGCGTCTAATGATTTTTTTCTTTTTCTTTCAGATTTGGAGGATATTTGGGCGATATTATTTTTCACACATAATTGCCATGATTTAAATAACATGATCCAATAGAGAAATAAATAAATTTTTACTAATAACACTGATTTATTTACTGCTGACTTTGATCCATATTAATGAAACACCCTTTAGCAGGACCGATATTACATAACAGTTCAGTCCTCTTTTCTTTGTTTCTCATGACATTTTCCTGTTTCCTAAAATTTTGCTTACTTTTTTGGAAGGCGTCTTTGTCTATTCCAATTCGGCTTCGGATTTCGATGTCGCATTTTCATGTTAAAACAATTCCTAGATATTTAAATTTTTGCACTTGTTTAATTTTTATATTTCCAATTTGTAATTCGCGTGTTGGGCTGTCCTTTTTTGTTGGCAACTATACAATGGTGCAATATTTATTACTTTCATGAAAGCTTAAACTAAACGATTGATGCTGCAAAAATTCATTGAATTACGCCAAGAGTAGACGACCAAGAAATAGTCGACCAGTTGGGAAGCAGACCCCTAGAAAATTAAAATGAAATGTCAGGTCTTATTTGCACTGATATTAATGACGTTTACGCCAACATTGGTCGTTGTTTTTTGTCACTGATATTGTTATCAGAATTTTACATCACCAAGGTAACCGCAGATTATTATCGCTAACGTCATCATGTGCACAGACATTGTCACAAGAAACAAGATACGAATCGACGCCATTAGTTACGTCATTATTAGCGTCAGTCATATTTCTCAAAAGGTTCAGCATTTTGGATAACATCCTTGGAACCTTTTTCCTTAAATAAACATTAATTCCCGCCATGATTTTTTTAAAAATCTTCTATTCCACTCTCCACATACAAACGCATGCGCGAACGCTCTCGTTCCCGCCTTTTTCTTCTATCTCTGCCTTCTATTTTATTTTGATTGTTTCTTCCCTCATCAGCACCTTCCCCATACACAAACACACGTTATATCGTTCTCTTCTTTTTCTATTTCTTATTTTTTTTTCATTTTTTATAATTAACGTTAATTATACCCGCGTTTCAACCATGTAACCCTTGTTGTCTCATGCAGACGTCAGCGAGACGAATCTTGTTTTTTTTTCTCTTAATGTGTCTCGCCACATTTGCATGGTCTGCTAACCACTGTTCATTTTCCTGTCAAGCTTTTGTGAATTTGACTTTTTTTGTTTTGCTATGGCCACGAGCAAGAGAGAATTGGTTTTACAGAACGATGCCAAGAATACAATGGACAGAACGTGTGACCAACGAGGAAGTTTTAAGGAAAATCGAAACAATAAATGAAACCTATACTTAGAACTTAGACTGTTACCGTGGCGTATAACGAAGAAAAAGTGTTTCATGAATCTGTGTTATATTCCGTGCTAATAGGAATATATACTTGAAAAACAAGATGGAATAATAAGTCAAGGTTTATTGTAAAAAAACCAGTACAATAAGAATAAAGGTAACAGTTATGCACAAATTCGTCGCAAGTCAGTCCAGTAGTGAGTGCTATTATTGGAAGGTCGGTAGTTCTCGCGTAAGTCTGAGTCGTACTCAACAGATCCCAACTCTTCTCCGTAATCCGTCGACTTACAGAGACTTATAGGTCATTACTACCTATAGTGTAGTCACTCATGGGGGTGACAGGTTATTCCATTACATCAATTTAACACTCACAGGTTAAAGGGAAGAGAAGAGAGAAACAGCCAGCAACGTACCTAACGAACTCAAGTACACGGATGGTGGAAAAAGGAGCGAAAGGGAGAGTAAATATCAAAATAAGGTAAAGCGGTACGAAGGATAAGAAGTTGTAGAGAACCATGATCGTCTACGTCCTAAAGAAACATGGCACCTAAAATAAATATTTCCAGACGCAGGGCGCCTACTGTAGAGCGCTGATTAGCATGCTGGTCTCGTTGACTACTGTCTAGTGAGTTAGATACCCACCAAGTGGTCCGTTATGATAGTGTTATATACCGTACCTATGAACACTAATGGGTATGTCCCAATCCTCATGAATACGTTGGGCACTATTGTAGGTGGAGGCAAATATGCTGTCTAAGTAGTCCACCACTAGCAGTGGTTTACCTACTTCACGCCGCTGGCGAGTATTTTCTTCTGTTGATGTTATAAAGATTACCATTTCATTTCCAACCCCCTTTTTGGTCATTCCTCATTCCGTAACACTGTCTAGGTTACAATAGATAGTCATGTACAAAACAAAGTTTACAAATATTTAAGTGGAAACCCTTTATTTTTTTCGCGTTTCAATCGGCATTTAAAAATGTTTAGTTGTGTTATTCTGTTGTATGTGATTCCCGCCAGAAAATACCATATAACTGAATCTAATTTGATCTCAACAGGGAACCTTTTTTCGATAAGAGGTTGATCTGTGGTGACTCCGATATACACTCTAACAGGTACCAAAATGTACTTTTCCCTCTGTGCATCAGAGATCAGGTGCATCAGATAGTTGACCTAGAAGGTGACCTTCTAACTACCAGGATATCAGTAGCTGTCGTCGATATATAACTAGGTGATCGACCCAGCTGAGCTGAGGATGTGCACATGTGGGATATTAAAAAGAAAACAGAAGCACCCCACTCGAAAGGGGGGGAAACAGAGCGTCTCTCACATCGTACGAGACAGCCCTTACGATTACACCCTCTTACCCCAATATTTATTCATACTGGTTATGACGATAAACTACATCCGACAGCAAGGCCTCTGATAGAAAGATTTGAGTTTTTAAGGAGCATGGAACGACCTCTTAATTGCTTAATTGGCAGCAATACATTTCAGGAAAAAATATTGCCAGCAATACATTTTTTATAAAAATTAAAAGTTATTACCAGCAATACATTTTAGGAAAATTGTTACCAGCAATACATTTCTGAAAAAAAATATTACCAACAATAACAATCTTGTCATTGAATAACACATTGAGTTTGATATGCCATTAAACAAAACAAACAAAATCAAACATTATCAGCAATAGATTTTTGAAGGAAAATATTACCAACAATAAAAATCTTGTCGTCATTGAGTTTGATATGCCGTAAACCAAATCAAACCAAATACGTATTAGCGAAGTTCAGGTCAGCAGTAATTTTACGCAGGCGGGATCTCTTTCTTCATTTTCGTTTGTCTTTGCAATGCCAACGTTACAATATGGATTAATTGAACCAAAATGAGGATTTTTCGTGCTTTCTTCGGCCTTTTATCGATTTATGTCACATCCGTTATTCTTTGAACAGAAGACAATCGTGAAAGTTGACTTAGAAAATAAAACAAAACATGGGAACAAAATAAATGATTATTTTAAAATTCCTTAAAGATTACCAGGTGAGATATAAAGCGGGAGAAGGCTAGAGAGCATATCTGCTGAAATGATGCGTTCAAATGAACAACGACGAAAATTCTAGACTAATATTTGTTTCAAATCAGATTAATTTAACTTTAAATTTGCTAATTTTCTCAAATAACGTTTCATAAATATATATTTTATTTTTGCTACTTATATGACTGATATAAACAAAAATTTGAATATATATATATATATATATATGCATTATATGCGCAGTACTTAATGGAAAGCACTCAATATCAGCGATAGAGCTAACATATTCAGTTTTATGTATATGAGTTTGTGACCCTGGGTCACCACACAAACTTTGATCGCAAAAGCGTGAAACCCGGGGTTAAAAACTCATATGCAGCGGAATATATATATATATATATATATATATATATATATATATATATATATATATATATATATATATATGTGTGTGTGTGTGTGTGTGTGTGTGTGTGTGTGTAAGTAACTCCAGTTACTTCAGGAAAAATTCTAAGAAAAAATAAAGACATCCAGTACCACGTGTTGTAAGCTTGAATGTGCGTGTGGTGTAATCGATAATGACTCGGAACTGTTAAACAGAGAGCCGAATTCCAATTCCGTTTTTGAATGTGCGGGTGGTGTAATCGATGAATCGGAACTGTTGAACTGAGAGCCGAGTTCCAATTCCATTTGGGTTCGTAATATCCACTTTGGAAAGGTAGGGATCTACTTCTTATTCCTAAGCTATTGAAATTAGCAACATTAAATCATTATTATTTAACATCTTAACAGTCTAAAAATATTTTCTAGTTTTAAATAACCTGCACACCTTTAATAAGCCATATAAAAAAAAAACCAATCAACAAACTGAAAGAGAACATATAACATTCAAAGATGACAATTAAAATAATATAGATGATTTTTTTATATCAGATTATAGTTGAACTTAGCACAAATAGATATAGATTTTAGAAATACAATAACATGGAACAGTATTGTAAAAAATGAATGCCATCTGGAGGAGCAACTTTTGAGGTCAGTTGTATAAAGAATCACTCTTACACGGGGCAAGCAGTTGGACATTAATTAAAACAATCGCAAAAAAAAAAAAAAAAATCTAGAGTATACACATACTCAACTATCGTGGAGTAGCGCCAAATGTCATCCGGAAACAGCATATATCGAATGAACAACTATATGTCAACCTATCAAAGATGACGGACCCAATCTCTAAAAGTCGGTTTATTCAAGAGGTAAACCATAAGTTGTGCATCTGCTTGTATTATGGGATGCAAAATTATCGTCTTACTGTTTGTTAATTTAAGCTCACTTTTTACCTGAAAATCCGTTTTTGAAATTGTCCTATGATATTGACGGTCATAAATTGAAAGAATTTGACGTGTACAATATCAAAGAGCTAATGCTTTTTTGAAGTTGGTTTTGGAAAGTGGTCTATTATATTATATTCCATTATTTACGATCTATCTATCTATCTATCTATCTATCTATCTATCTATCTATCTATCTATCTATATGTATGTCCGTCTGTATGTCTCAGCCCCTTCATATCTATCTATCTATCTATCTATCTATCTATCTATCTATCTATCTATCTATCTATCTATCTGTATGTATGTATGTATGTATGTATGTATGTATGTATGTCTCAGCCCATTGATATCTCTCTCTCTCTTTATCTATCTATCTATCTATCTATCTATCTATCTATCTATCTATCTATCTATCTGTCTGTCTGGCTGTCCGTCTGTATGTCTCAGCCCATTCATATCTATCTATCTATCTATCTATCTATCTATCTATCTATCTATCTATCTCAGTTTATTCACATCTATCTATCTATCTATCTATCTCAGTTTATTCACATCTATCTATCTATCTATCTATCTATCTATCTATCTATCTATCTATCTATCTATCTATCTATCTATCTATCTCCAGTATAAAGTAACAAAACTCAATCAATCTATCTAACAGTACCCAGTGTAAAGTAACAGATCTAGCTATCTATGTCCAACGCTATATTTTGCAGAATATTAAGAATTCTTCAATCCTTGGAATGTTGTAAATCGTGGATGTAATTATGAGGCTAAGAGAATGATTTTTCGATGAAGAAACCAACATCAATAAGCATTTAAATACTCATCTTTCTCTTTTTGATCGACAAAATGTTATTTTTGGTAATATTGTCTCTGGCGATGAAAAACCAGTTTATTAGGAGAATTGGAATCTGGTAACTGTTGCCTCACCCCAGATCATCCCAGAATAGACTTGGCACACACTGTCATTTAGAGTAGCCAGGTGTAGGGTTGATCTGAGAAATGGGCACTCAGTTTAGATACATAAAGTTGGCCCAGCTGCGCCTGGCTTATGCGCATGTGGGAAAAACCGCATGACAAGTAAAAATTTGGTACCGATCTGACAGGAAGGCGTACAGAGTCTCTCAAATTGCACGCTAGAATGTAAGGTCAACGCCCCCACCCCTCTCGCGAGAGTTTCGTGTTTCCATTAGTAACGTAAGACGATAGCATTCATGATCTTCGGCATTTCAGCCTAAACGAAAGCTACTTGGGATAAAAAAAGAAGAATTTTCCCTGTGTTTGTTTGATTTTAAAGTGAAATCTTAATTATGCAGTGATCGTTTCTGAACAAGCTTACTGCACAGTTCTAGATGTTTTTTATTGTGTGCAGTTTGTCACGGTTGAACTGCATGTTAGAAGAGAAAATACTTTTTTGTCGGTTAGGATTGACTGATTTGTTTTTTTACAGCTTATCAATCCTTTTTGGTTTATTTAAAAGCGAAACATGTTTTACATTGTAAGAAAACATTTTTGTGAGTGAATACTGTATTAAGAATAGTTTGAGAATAACAATGATTTTTCCAGATACAATCCTACAATTTAACCCATAGTGAGAGGAAGAGATAGATTCATACCATTCCCAAGTCTAAGTGAATACAATGAACTCGACTGTAATTCGAACACGGCTCTCAAATTTCTCATTACGAGATGTCGACCATTACACCACCCACACATTCACATATTGTTTAGCGAGCATGCAATAACAATGCCTATTCTCAACATGCTATACAGCAAACAGACATAGGGCAGGGATGGTAAATTGTTTGTAGGTGGCCGTATTCTACAGACACTTCACCTTTAGACTGTCATTTGTTTCGCTCTATGCAACAGTCTTCGACAATTTCAAGATATTTAAAGATTTCATCAAATCAAAAATTACGTGATGCTGAAATTTGAAGGCGCACTGCAATAGCGAAAGATGGTTTCCAAAAGATAAACAAATGTTTTGGAAACAACAATATTTCATTTGCATTTAACTGCTGAACAACTTCCTAAGATAAAAAAAAGGATTAAGATTAAAAAAAAATGCAAAGACAAAAATTGTTTGAATGTGTACCACGACTTTAGGCCGTATATTTCAAATAACCCCAGTTTCTATCCCAAGTTGTGACTTGAGGTGAGTTTTTCTTTGCTACGGTTATGGCCCATATTTTATCATTATGACTTGTCCTCTGGTATGAATTGAAGGAATATATGTTAAAAAACCAACTTCTGTAAAAATAATTTTGACTGAATTTAATTCAATCTGTAGTTGCGATTGTTAGAGAATGATTTTATAAGCATGTTGAAAATGGCAATTAAACATTGTTAGTACATTTAAAACATATTTTCGGTTTCATTACTCACAGACATACATACATACAGACATACAGACAGACAGACAGACAGATAAATACAGGCTGATATATGAAGATTTCTCAGAGTTCAACTGTAGAAAAGACAATATTTATAAATATAAAATAAATATAAATGACAATAGGAAAACTGTAGTTATTAATGTTAACAATATGAAAACAGCTTTCTCTACATTCCTCCAGTTGCTAAGGACATTCTGTTTTTTTGTTATTATTAGTTACTTTGTTTAATTAAATTCATTTCGTTTTTTGCTTTGATAAAGTCCGCATTGGACGAAACACGTCAGCTTTCCTATTGTCATTTATATTTATAAATAGGCTGATATATATATATATATATATATATATATATATATATATATATATATATATATATATATAGAGAGAGAGAGAGAGAGAGATAGATAGATAGACAGACATAAAACTGACTGAGACAGACTAACAGACAGATAGGTACCTACATTCATACATAATTTTGTGTACTTTTATTTCCTTTATGTATGTCAGCTCCTCGTAAGCTGCACGCAATGTCATAGAAAATACGTGAGAGCCTATAAACTCATTTATACAATGAATCATGTGAACAGAGAAGGTGCTAGAGTAAAGAAAGAAAGAAAGAAAGAAAGAAAGAAAGAAAGGAAAAAAGAGAGAGAGAGAGAGAGAGAGAGAGAGAGAGAGAAAATCAACATCACATTTTGCGGTGTCTCCTAAACATAGATGGCAGATAAATAAATGTTGAATAGAAAAAAAAAACAAAAAAAAAAAACTGAAAGGGTAACGCGTTTACCTGTGATTTACAGACAAGGGAAATAAACGCATCTTTTCACGGATTGTATTGAGATACCTAATGAAGCGTTGGAGTACCCCGCAAAGTAATGGAGTGTCTGGTAATGCATTGCGGTACCAAATAAAGCTGATTTGATGTAGTGCAACTTTCAAAATGGCGAGAACGAGAATGAACGGACAGTAGAACCAGAGAGAGAGAGAAAAAATAATCAGAGAGAGAGAGAGAGAGGGAGAGGGGGGGAAGAAGGTATCTGTCTTTAAAAGTGTTCAGATTGAGAATATGGTTTTAGAACCAAGAAAAAAATGAAACGTTCTTCTTCTATATTCCGTGTCCATTCAGGAATTTAGCGATTATGGCTCTCCACAATTTCCTGTTTTTTACAGCTAAATAAATCTTGACATTTTGTTATCTCTTCTAAATCTTGCTCCGCCACGCATTTACTCAAGTTCGCTAAGTAGGTTATGCGTCGTTTTCCTGTCTCCCTTACCATTGTCAGGCCTTGGCACATTTGTTACACGCAAGGCAGATTGTCCTGCGGGTATCAAATGGGCCGAGCCGTCTTTCCTCATTATGAGTCCCCTGAAATTTCAACTGAATCTTCCTTATGTTAAGTATGAGTGTCTTTTTCTTTCCATTTTCTCTAAAACTTCATCGTTGCTAACATATTCCGTTCATGGTATCCTCAGCATCCTTCTTTAGAACCACATTTCTGTTGCTTCAAGTCTCTTCATCATCCGTGAGGAAATCGTCTAGTATTCACTACCATAAAGGAAGATCGATATTACATAACAGTTCAGTACTTTTCTGTTTGTTTCTAACGGAATTTTCAATTACAAGAATGGCCTGTTAATGAAGTCAAAAATTTGTGAAGACTGAACCAGATGAAAAAATCAGGAAAGAATTTCAGATGGTGTGCAAAATATTTGGTTGAGTCAAAAATATTTTCCGTTTTTATCAATTTTATTCTTCAAAAACTAAAGTATAATTACGTTTTATTCAATTTATATATTCATCGTTAATTATAATGGTTTGTTGCCACTTATCAGGTAACTCTCTGAGTAAAATTCCACAGGTTTCGAGATGAAAACGTTTTCGTCATTATCTTGAATCTGGTTTTCATTAGAGAAAGTATTCCTCATCAAAGAGTTTTGTAACGATAGTAAAATGTAATACCGTATTTTCCGGTTTACAAGACGCTGCGGCTTGGAAGACGCACCCTAATATTGGAAAGAAATTTATAAGAAAAAAAAAGTCATTCTCATACAACAACACATGCATCCCTCACATACTGGTGCCATGTATTGTTTACATTAATCACTCGTCCGATTTTGTTTGTATGGCAATGACATATGAGTCAAGAGCAGAATTGATTTTGGGTTATCAGTTTGTATATTCATCGTTAATTGTTTGTTGCCACTTATCAGGTAACTAACTCTCCGAGTAAAATTCTGCAAGTTTTGAGGTGAAAACGTTTTCGTCGAGCTCCTGAATCCGGTTTTTATTAGTGAAAGTTTTCCTTGTCAAAGTGTTTTACAGTCATGCGGATATAGCGGGTGGGAGTAGAATAAACGATTATGGTTTCAAAATATTTTCCTGTTATTCTTGCTCTATGAAACCAGGTGTTGTCTTGAAGCCGATGAAACTCTTATAAACAAGTTGCAGCTGCTGGACGTATAAGTGTGCATTTAATGTTTCACTGCGTTTTAAGATCTTTAAATGACTAGATAGATATAGTCCCACTACATACACAATATTAACTTTATTTCATGGAGCTTATATTTTAGTTGACGGTTGTGGAGATTTGTTAATTCATTGCGTTTTGCATTCAGCAGTGTCGTATGTAACGTATTTTTCATCACCTGACACATTCATCACAACAACTGATTCCCAAAAATATTAAACAAAGAAAGGAAACAATTAAGTCAATAATAATAATTATTATTATTATGTTTGTCCACTTGACAAGTGCGGCTGGTACTATATAACGCAGCACTATTTGTCATATAGTCGGGTTATCTACTATTAAACCGGTAACCCCACCATGCATTTCTGATGACGAGGGTGTCTAGACACCCAGCAGGATTAAACAAAGACCTCGTAAAGGGTAGATAAAACTTTCTTTAGGTTCAACAGTCATCTGGCACAGAGGGGTAGATTGGATTCCATATCTCTATGGGCATTTTCTAAGCGTAGCTTAGATGTTGCAGAAGGTCGAAAGGATCGAACTCACTTTTCAGTCGTAGCTGATCTAGCGAGACAAGTTTGCTAACCATTGCACCACACCGAGATGCCCTGTGTTTTATATCTATATGTGCAGCTAGTGGGGTGTTGACGCGGTATTGCTGGACGCACGCCTTCCTAGACTGAAACCACCGGCCAAGGGAGACGGGTTCCTCCCATGGAATCAACAATTATGGTGAGCCTTTAAGTCGGAGAATATCGACTGTGATTATACCTGGAGAGGTATTCATA